ACGCCCTGCCGCACTTCTGGGCACCCCATTTCCTCTTCCTGGAGAGTCCTCTCCCAGTCTCTGCCTGGCTGACATGACACCCTCTCATTCACCAAGGCCTAGCAGATAAAGCCACTCCCACCTCAAGGACATTCTCAGAGTGTACTAGATTTACCCGCTGGGAGTTTCATCTCAGAGATTTTCTGGAATCTCCCTGAGGGCAGGGGCTGGGTCTCAGGTCAGGGGAAGAAATTTATGCACTGGCTACTTCTTTAGGCCCCCCATTCCCACCCCATCTGCTCCACTTTGTACACACAGAGCTTCCCTTTGCCGGCATGGCAGGATGACCAGTCTTACTCCTCCCTGATCGAGGGTTCCCGTAGATCCCTGGCCTCAGGCTGACAACCAGATGCCCACACCCTTGCTGGCACCAGGTATTTACTCATCAAACAGTTGTGATCCAGCCGCTGGAGTTGTCCAGTGCCATGTCCAGAACCCCGCCCTCAGAAACTGTAGCTCAGTGAATTAGCAGGAGGGCAAATCTCTGTGTTTGAAGTGCCCCAGATGATTCGATGATTAGCCATGCGGGTGACCCAGAGTCTCAGGGGCTGGGGCAGAGCACTTCTGGCCATGGAAAAACAGACTAGTATCCTTAATCATGTGTATTATGAAATATTTTAAAAACCAAGCAGAAGCTGAAATGTTTAAGATCATCCCGACTTCTCCCGCCTCGGTTGCTCATTGCCCCACTCCTCCCGCCCCAATTCCAAATGATATTCATAAGCAAACCCACTTCGGCCCACCCCAAGCACACTGCACAGTGGCAAGTAAGAAAATACCAGAATTCCCTTTCCTAGCAAAGGGCAGTTTGGTCTAGTCACTGTTTGCAGAGTACTGTTTGCTTTAACACAGAAGCAGAGAGCGCGCGGGAGGAAACTGGTTTGGCTGGTTTGCTAGGGGGAGGGAGCACAGGGAAACAGTTGAACCAAAAGGAAGGTAAAACCCAGAAGGGAGAGTCTCAAACAGAAGGCATCAAATATTCCAAGGGCTTTAAAATTTAATATTCACTGAGCACTTGACATACTCTATGACTTGCATGCTGTTTTGCCCATTTTATAGATGGGAAAACTAAGGCTTAGAAAGTCCTTGGCCAATGTCCTTCAGCTGGCAATGGGCATCATCTGGATCTAGGCAGTTTTCAAAAGGCAACACTCAGTATTGTGTCCCCGGGACATACTTATCTACCCAGGTCACACTTATCTACCTGCTACAAAAGCCACAGACCCAACTCTTCCCTGCCCAGTTACAATCGACATCTTGGGCTAGCCTGAGGCCACAGCGTTTAAGAGGAAAAAGATAAGCCAAGGTATGAGGGGTAGTAAATATTTATACATTCATTTGTTCAAAATGATATTTGAATGCCTACTCTGTCCCTAAGAAATACAAGCCACCACTTAGTGACTCTTTCTTATTTCTTTATATCTGTCTCACTTGCCCTAATGTTCAGCCCACATCTGTTTTATTCATTACTATAATCCCAGGGTCTAGCCCAGTGCTGGCACTCAACAGGCACTCACATTTGTTGACTAAATGAGTGAATGAATATACACATTTAATTCTCATGACAAACATGTAAGTATTATTGCCTTCCATTTAACACATGGGGAAACTGATGTTCATAAGTAAAGTAATTTACCTAAGGTCATACGGGTAGTAGTTGAAATTCAAACTTGGATGTTTCAGGTACTTACAGAACTATCCTGACCAGCCATACTGATGTCATTCCCCTCCTTGAAAGCCTAATGCTCTGAGAGGTGATGGGAGTTGAGGCACAGTGGAAACCCAGGAAGTCTGGATTGTGACAGGTGCCTCTTGGGGACTTTCGGGTTTTGGCAGTTTCTGGGAGATGTGAAAGCTGATTGCTTCAGTGTCTGGCTTATCTGGGGCTATGCTTGGAAGGGACTGTGTAACAGACACCAAGGGGAGCATTTCAGAAGAAAAAGCTTACTCAATAAAAAGCCCCGGAGAGCAAACTGGGATGTCCATAACCACCTGGCAGAGATGAAGGACAGGAGCAGCAGCCAGCCTTCCTTAAATGGCCTTGCAGGGCCCAGGGCCTTAGGCCTCCACTCCTTGTGAGACACCACGGCAAGGGCAGGAGGATGACCCAGTGGTATCCATCCCCAGCGGTTCTGCATAATTACCCCTTATCACAAATGTGAGTAACCGGGCAGTGATGGTTAGGAGTTTGAGCAGTGAGGGAGTGGGGATCTGATGATGTAAAGTCATCCTAAAGCAAATTTCCCATTTGTTTTTATAAGGCCCAGTTTAACTAGGGGTCAGCATACTGTTTCCACTATGTTTCGGCACATCTTTTAGCAGGAAGGGGAAATGGGTATATTTAATCCGCACAGGTGGGTGCCTGTGAGCTAGGTCAATCCATCAAGCAGCCAGATCATACCCAAAATATAAGCCCTGTTTGCCCAAGGTCAGGTGGCAGAGGAAGCAAAGCAAGGAAGCCATTGGTTTAAAAGCCGGCCGCCTTTTTTTCCCACCCCTCCAACCCTCCAGTCAACTTAAAGCTGAATGCACGAGGATAATACTTCTGCAATCTGAAACAGTCTAATAGCCTGGGTTTCTCAAACCAATCTGTACTAAGAAAAACGAAATTATCAGAAACTAAAGGACCAGTTTACGGTTGAGTTGTGTTTTTTGTTTTTAAAACATCCTAGAACCTGGAGAGAAACCAATGGAATAAGTACAAGGATCTACTGGGGTACAGGAATGATCCCAGAAAACCACTTCAAAGGCCTCTGAGTTCAGCCATATCCTATTTGTGACACTCCGTGGTCACTGATGGACAAAAAGTGACAGGTTCCTTGTTTTCAAACTCCTCTGCAGCAAATTCTCCACAGAGCCAGTGTTTAAACCTGGTACTAATTCGGCATCCCTCCATTTTTCTGGACTGTCCAAACACAGTGAGGCTACCTAAGGCTAGCCACAACTTTTAAAAAAATTGTTATCATGTCAGTTTCAGGTATACAGTACATTGGTTAGACATTTATACAGTTTATAAAACGATCCCCCTAATTGCTCTTTCTCTCCTCTGACCCTCCACCTAGCCAATACATTAATGCTGACTGCATTCCCTATGCCCTGCTCCCCCCCCATCCCCGTGACCATCTACAGACTACTAATTTGTACTTCTTTAACCCTTTACCCCACCTAGCTGCCTTTTTAAATCACAAAGCCAGTTCCCTGAGGTCACCTGTGTGATTTTACCAGAAGGGCGCTTCTGTCCTGGGGCAATTCCACATTGGATTGGTCAAAGGAGACCCCATGGTCCAAAAAGCTCCCCCAAAGTGAAATGCCAGGAAATCTGTTGCATGGGAGTGAGTCTGAGGACATAAAGGGAATTGAACCAGCCACACAAGCAGCTTGCAAAGATCGCCTCTCTAACCAAGACCACCAGCTGCAGGCCTCTTCACCTCCCGCCTGGTCTGACACTTCTGCTACCACCACCACTTCCTTGCAGGGTCCTGCCCTGTCAACACGGCTCTTGACAGACACACAGGGAGGAAGACATCCACCTCAAATGGTAGTATGCAATAATATTATTATTGTCTAGAAGAGCTTGGCGCTGCCAAATGTCTTGGTGCGGCAAAACAGAGTGACCAGCACTTGTGTTGGGACACTTCCATGTCTAACCTCTGACCTGCTCTTCAAGTCTGGGTCAACTTTGCCTCCTCCCAGAAGCCAGTCCTCACTGCCCACTGATTCCCATCAAAACATCCCAGATATCTAAGAATCTATATCCTACCATGCCCTCTAGGTGGGTCCTGGGACATTCTCAGCAATCTGCTGGAACATGGAATACGGAGGGCAGGGCTGGAACATCCCTATATCTCTATTTCTCCCAGGTGCCGAGCAGAGGGCAGGGCTGGAACATCAAGAAGAAACTAGCCAAGTCATGGTAGACCCACTGCAAAATCAGACAGACAACACTTTCTTTCTGACCTGATAGAAAGCTCCGTACAACACAGACCTCAGAAAATCAAATGTGTTTAATCAGTTAAGTTGTTGCCTACTGTTGGAACAACTTTCCGAAGTGCAAAAAAATTTTTTCAGGCAACAGCTTGATTGCGGCAGATTTTTCGCATGGCCAAAGACTGGAAGAACAAACAGTGAATTCCTTCGGGGGGACTATGGATTACTTCTTCTTTCAAACAGTGTTTTTTATTGTCGTGATAGCTCACCCAATCAACTAAAATCAAGAGGGAGGCAAAAGTGATTTGACAGGAAATAAACACCTGGGAATCAGGGAAACCAGAAGAGAAACCAACCTTCCCTTGCTCTCCTGGGCAACAGTGAAGCGAAACAAAGCAAACTCTAGAATTCTGATTATCACAGTGATAGAGCCCAGAAGTACATTTGTGTGCGTTTTTATTCCCTGAGTCAGAGCTACTAGGCTTTTTTTTTTTTTTTTTTTCTAATCAGTATTCTTTGGGGGAATAGTACCTGTATCGAATGTTTTCATCTCTATGAGCAAAAGCCAGAGCTTAGTAACTGAGAGGGCTCCTCAGTCATCCCAGAGATGGTGCAGAATGGGGCCTGGGAGTGAGATGCTAGTTCAAATTCCCACACCGCTGACCCTGGGCAAGTGGACTCCACCCTCTGAGCCTTCCTTTGCTCATCTATGAAAGGGGAATTGCCACTTCCCTCACGCCCTTCCCACGTATTAGGTTTTTGCAGTCTGAAAATGACAGACTTGTCTCTAAAGTGGTCAGGACAATAGCAGACACACTGGAGGCCTCTAATTGATACCTTTCCCCCTTCCAAAAATAATTAACCATATCACGATAGCCCCCTCAAACACAGTGCTCAACCATGGTAAAAAGCTTAAATCTCTGCATCTGTGTAAATTCCAAGGGTGTCATTTGAGCCACAGAAAAAGGGGCTTGGCCAGTCCAGCCCAGGGGCGTGGGAGCGCAATTTCTCGGACCCTGGCGGCGCGCCCTCACCTCTGCCCAGGACTCTGCCTCTCTCCAAGTGCCGCCGCGGCACGATGAACGTGTAGCTCTCAGCGCCAAAGCCGGGACGGCAGGGCTCGGGCTCCGGCTCCTGGCAGAGCCATGATGAGACCTGGGATAGGGGAAAGGTATGGAACCGTGGTAGTGACTTGGGTGGGGGCGGGGGAGGGTCTCCTCCAGCCCACACCGAAACCGACAGCGCCACCTCTCCCTCGCTCCGGGCGTCGGGATTGTGGGAGGAACTCACCTCCAACCCCCCACCCCTGCCCCGCAGGCAGCCGCGCCAAACTCAGTCCCAGACCCGCCGCAGCCAAGCCTCCAGGAACGCCCGGGAGAGGGGGCTCCTGGGTCACCTCTTCCCGACCTAGAACCCCTTTCCTTCCCGTCTTTTTAGTTACAGTGGACTCATCTTTACTCTTCCCAAATCCACTCTCCTTATACCGGGAAGGCTCCTACTCCTGTCTCATTCCTCATACGGAGGGCGCCCTAACCTCTTTGACCCCACTTTCTGATCCCAGGGGTGCCCCTATACTTATTTACTATTTACTACCTTTTCTTTACCTGGCAGGTGCCATTATTTCTATTGATTCCCTTTTCCTTATCTCAGGGATCGTCCCCCCTACTCCTGGCTCTTCCTAGACTTGCACCCCGGCTTCCCTTTTTCATATCCCGACCCCCATGACGCTCCAAGCCCCCCACTGCCAGCCCCTGGCCCATACCGCGGCCATCCCGGAGTCACCAGAGCCTGCAGCGAGGCGCACCCCCACTTCTGGTACCTGCGGGGGCAGCAGGCAAAGCCGCGCTCGCTCCTCGCCCGCTCCCGCTCCCACTCCCACCTCCTCCGAGTCCAGAGCGCCGCGCTGCTTCTAGGCTGCTCAGGCTCTTCGGACCCAAACTTTCTTGGAAGAGGAAGCGGGGACGACAGGAGAGAGGAAGGGACTGGGGGCCAGTGCGCGGATAATGCGCCAGGAAGGCGTCCGCCACAAAGCCAGGGGGACCCGACGTACCTGCAGCAGCAGCAGGAGCGCGTTGAGGCTGCGGCACTGAGGGCCCATGGCGTTCCGGGCGGGGGTCGGGTCGGGTCGGGTCTGGCTGGGCTGGACGGGGATAGAGTCTAGCTGAACTTGCGCGAACTCAGGTGCTCTACGGCTACCGACGCCACTGAGCTGGGCAGTGCCTCAGTCACCAGGTGAGCCTCGAAGGCCCCGCCCCTGGCACCGCTGATTGGCTGAGGATGCACCTGCAGGCCGCAGCCAATGAGCGGCGCAGCGCGACCCCAGCTTCCTCCAGGCTGGGAGTGGACCGTCCGCCCCCGATCCCGCCCCGCTGCCTCGCGCGGACCCGGTGACCCGCTGGCCGGGCTGGGTGCAGGGGCTACAGGATTTCTATTACCAGCGGGTTCGAATCTCAGCCTCGCAGTCGGTAGCTCTCTAACACCTAGGCTTTATCCTTTACCTAGTTCTGTAGTTTTTAACTGCAGGTCTCTACTGGTTTCTGAGTCTGCAAACCAATTCACTGGGCAAGACTCATCTTTCCAAGTCTCAGTTTCTCCACCTTCCAAATGGAATAATCAGAAACATCTCCCTATATTGTTGTAAGGTTGTCATACAATAAATGAGAACAATGTTTCCTGCACCATAAAAGCCCTGTGCAGATATGAGTGATAACAATAGGTACTGGGCATTGAAAGTTACTGTGCCAGGCTCTGTGCTAACGAAGCATTTGACTTTCACCATCTCATTTAATCTCATCTCAAAATAACCCAAGAGCTGTGCTACAATTTCCATTCGATAGCGAGGCAACTGAGACATAAATAATTTGAAACCAGTAGGAGATGGCAGAGGCCTGGAACCCACCTTCTTCTGATTGCAGGGCCCTTTCTTCTATCAGCTTCACTTTATGTGGCCCTGGATGGTCTTCCAGCTGAAGCTGCAATTTTCAATCTGTCCTTTAATGTCGACCTGGAAGAGAACCTTTAGAGATCACTCAAACCTGTTATTTGCAAATAACTCTTTCAATGTCCCATAGCAAGTCAACATCAAAGCCAAGACTAGAATCTAAGATCTCCTAATCCCCAGAAGGGGCTCTTAACACCACACCATAGCTACCACCGCCTCCTCTAGAGAATTATGTCCCAGTAAAATAATTTTAGGATCAAAAAGAACAGACATGCAAATGTTAGGTCAGACTTCCCTGTCTGACTGGCAGGGGCCGGGCCCAACGGCGTGGTTTGGCTACCCTGATGAGGACATCGTCTTTCCCTTCACCCTCCAAGCATGGTCAGAACTACAAAAGCGTGGAGTCAGCTGCTCACTAGGTGTGCGGCCTTGGGCAAGCCCATGTTCTCATCCATACAGATGGGTTGATAGGAGCTGATGCAAGAAAATCACTAAACAGTACTTGGCGCCTAGGAGCAACTGCTCAGTAAATGTTTGGTGTGAAGGTTGTTCTTTGGAAAGGACCTCCTCCTACCCACTTCCTCATGGGGAAGACCATGTTTTGAATATTTCACCCATAGTTAACCATGAATCTGAGCCCAATGAGGCTACTTTCTGAAGCCCAGAGGAGAGGAGGTGTCTCAAACCAAGACATTGTTTCAGGTCAGCTCAGCTTCCCCCGCCTCCCAAAACCTGTCCCCTCGGTTTTAATGGGTTTCTGAGCGCACGCCCAGGCCATTTGGATTTCTGCATCTTGGCTCTCTCCGCTTCTTAACCCACCAGGAGGCTCAAAGGGAAAAGGCTCCAGTATTTCCTTTCCCACTGAGGCTCTTGCAGGACTGCACATTAAACAAGATAATGGAAATACAGAAAGAGGCGTTTCCCCCATGGGGCAGCCTTGTCCGTTTATTTTTTTTCTCCCAGTTATGTAAAAATACATATTTTATACCATCACTCGGCCCAGGGAGCCTTTAGGGCTCTGCTTTCCTCCGCCCAACAAGTCCTGGCCTTGTAACTCTGCAGTGACTCTCATCGACTCTTCCATTACACTCTGATAATTCAATAAAAAGGATTTTAGAAAACAATTAGGGGCAGTGAGGACAGGTCAGGAGAGAAGCTCTCTTCAGACTTCTCGGCAAGTCCTTCTCCAAGCTCCAGGGAGTGAGTTGGGCGTGAAGGGCTGCGCTCTCTCAGCTGTCCAGGGTGAGGAGGGGACCCACAGAGGTACCCCGTGGAGGCAGAGCATTGTGAGACTGTGGCCTTCAGTGAATTGCTTCAGTGTCCTCTGACATCAAAAAAATTGAAATGTCATTCTGAGGATCAAATGAGCAGAAGGTGAGCCTGTGCTGCCAAGGAGCCCTGCTGCTGACAGCGGTTGGTCTCATACTGATGGAGGGTTCCTATTCTGTGGCTAGCGGGAGCGGGGGTGGGGGGGAGCATGTCACTTGACCTCTTTTAGTCTTAGTTTCCTCATCTATAAAATGGGAATGTTAATGACATTTAATTCACAAGGTTCTTGTAAATGCCCTAAAGTTACCTGTTAGCACTCTAGGCTCAGGACGTTCCTCCCTTCCCAGGCAAAACTGTGAGCCCACATGAAGCCTCCCCACCCCCAGGCTCTCCATTCCCCCGTCCCCACCAGTCTCAGGCTACCTCTGGCCTCCGCTTAAAGAAACTTTCACACAGACTGGTTAGTCATTTTGACCCTCCCAGGGTAATCTGCATTTTAAAGAGGGCTCTGGGGTATGCTTTATTTTCAAAGAATGAAAACTTGGAGCTAGTAAACGGCCCCCTGGATTCTTAACCTGGTGTGTGGATGGACTCCGAGGAGGTTGTCCGTGGAAACCCTGGGATTGTGTGCAAACCTGTCAGTGCAGGTGGTAAGGTCCAATGCCTGCATTAGCTTCTCAACTGATGGGAAGAAAAGTTGCAGAGCTTGGAGCTGATCTCTTTGAGGGCCTGTCCAGTGTTGATGGTAGAATTTCAGGCATCAACAGGGAAAATGAATATTGACTATAGGCCTGGCCAGCCCCTCCAACTGGATGACCGACACTACCACTGGTACTAACTGGGTATCCATCCTTAGGATGACAAACTCCAGGTTTCCTTATTGCAGGGTGTGTCTCTGAAGGACTTTCACTTCCTGGGTGTCTTAGCAACTGGTCAGCTTTGGAGCTAATGATTAATCTAATAATGGTATTCAGCTGGGAGAGGCAGTGCCTGCTCCAGGCTCTGCCGAGTGGTGCCCAACCCCCCAGCTGTCTGGGGTGGAATCCTAGGAAAATTAGAATTGGGAGGATTACAGCCAGATCAGGCTCCCAGTGGTGTGGGGTAGGGAGGATCCATTCTAACTGATCCTAGGAGCTCCTGACACCTCCGCTGGGCCTGGTCGCCTGCCAACACGCAGAGGAGGGAACTGGATATCCTGCTCTGCCTCCTGCTAAAATGATGGTAACTGATAGGGGTGCCACCCTTTGCAGCTCAGCCACTCGCGTCTACAAAAAACATTTTTATTTTAAAAACAAAGTGAAGAAAATAGTAAAATGAATACCAGGTATAATAAAACACCCTGAATCTATCATCTAGTTCCAACAATTATTCTTGAAATTTCTATAATTTTATAATTTGTAAACTTTGTAATTGTACCAAATCTTGTTTCATCTTTTCGCCCCCGCATTTTGTTTTTAATTAAGACTTTTTTGAAGAGCAGTGTTAGGTTGGCAGCAAATTTGAGAGGAAGGTACAGAGATTTTCCGTATGCCTCCTGCTCCCACACATGCACAGCCTCCCTCATTATCAACATCCCCCATCAGAGGGGTACATTTGTTAGAACTGATGAACTTACATTGACACATCCTAATCACCCAAAGTTCATAGTTTACATTATGATTCTCTCTTGGCGTTGTATGTTCCATGGGCTTGCACAAATGTATAGTGACATGTATCCACCATTAGAGTATCATAGAGTCTCTTTACCCTAAAAATCTTCTCTTCTTCATCTGCCTATTTATCTTTCCTTCCCCCCTAACTCCTGTAAACCACTGATCTTTTTACTGTGACCATAGTTTTTCCTTTTCCAGAATGCCATGTAGTTGGAATCATAAGGTATATAGACTTTTTAGATTGGCTTCTTTCACTTAGTAGTATACATTCAGGTTTCCTCCATGTCTTTTCATGGCTTGATAGCTCATTTCTTTTTAGTGCTGCATAATGTTCCATTGTCTGATTTACCACAATTTATTTATCCATTCACCTACTAAAGGACATCTTGGTTACTTCTAGGTTTTGGCAATTAATAAAACTGCTATAAACATCCATGTTCAGGTCTCTGTGTGTGTGTAAGTTTTCAACTGCTTTGGGTAAACACCAAAGAGCAAGGTTGCTGGATTGTATGGTAAGAGTATATTTAGTTTTGTAAGAAATTGTCACTGTCTTCCAAAGTGACTGCATCATTTGCATTCCCACCAACAATGAATGAGAGTTCCTGTTGCTCCACATCCTCACCAGCATTTGGTGTTGTCAGTGTTGTGGATTTTGGACATTCTAATTGGTGCGTACCCCTGCATTTTTATTTTTATTTTGGCAGAGTATTTCAAAGAAAATTCCAGATGACATGTCATTTTCCCTGTAAATATTTCAGTCTGCATCTCTGAGAAAGATTTTTAAAACATGGTCATCATCCTGTTAGTATTAATGCCCAATAAAATTCACAATAGTCTCTTAATATCATCTAATGGCTAGGCCACATTTGAAAAAAAAAATGTCTCTTTTACAATTAGTTTGTCTGAATCAGGATCTAAGCAAGAGCCATACTTCACACTGGGCTGTTATATACACTTAGTCTTTTTATATCTGTAACAGTCTCCCCATGCTTTTTTGTTCAGCTTTTTTGAGATATAATTGACAGCACATATTTAAAGTATATAATTTAACGAGTTTGGGGCACATGCATGCACTGTGAAATCATCAGCACAATCATGAAGATAAACAGATTCTTTTTTTGTTAGTTTCTATTTTTGACATAATTCCGGACTTAGGAAGTTTTTTTTTTTTAACTGTTACTACTGTTTTTGTTTTATTTTGTTTTTTAAGATACCGTGTCATTTGTCCTGTTAGATGTCCTACATTTTGTATTTGGTTCAACGCATGCTCACAGCATCGTTGAACATGTCCCTCTTTCCCATATGTCACATAGACTGGTACTTAGATCTAGAGGCTTGATTTAATTCAGATTCAGTTTTTCAGGCAAAACATATTTCATACTGAGTAGCGTCATATCAGGAAACAAGAAAGTGTCTGGTTGTCTCTATTAGAATAACTAAGATTCAGTTGGTGTCAACTGATCCCTCCATTATCGAGTTCTCCATCAGCCTTTCACCTTGTGGTTTTAGCACCACGGATGATGGCTGTCCAGATCCATTAGCTCATTAGGGCAAACAACAAACATTTATTAAGCACCCCCATGTGCCAGGCACTCTGCCTGACATTGGGGACATAGAAATAAACAAAATACAGTCCCTGCCCTTATGAAGCTCATAGTGAGGGATGTTGACAAGTAAACATTCATCCATTTATTTACTACATATTATTAATTGTAGACTCTGTACCAGGAATTGTGCTAAATGCCAGTAATTACAATATGCTATGTAATAAAAATGATAGCTACCATTTATTGGGGCTCACCGTATTCAATATGGCTTCTCTCGCATAGCCCTTTGAGTGCTCTCACTATATCCGTTTTACAGATTTGGAAACGAGGGCTCAGAGAGGTCAAGAGATTTGTCCAGGCTTATACAGTAAGAGTGACAGAACTGAAATTTGAACCCAGGGATAAGGGCCTCCAAAGATTCTTAGTCTACATGTTGTACTGCAAAAGTCACAGCAGGCTTTTATTTCTAGGTGCCATGTGAACTGAAGAGCATACTGCTTAATTTAGCAAGAAATGGTCTGTCGAGTTGACCTGAAATTCTAGACCCCAGGGCACCCAAGAGAAGGTTGCAAGAGCATAGCCTGAGCTGCTGATTGTTGAGCCAGGCTGGAACTTCTAGTACAGTGAAGGCTGGGGTTGAGGTGATGATGACAGATGGAACCAGAGGAGCAGGCCCTGGGCCGGAGCATTTGGTCCTCCAACCTGCCTACAGAGCAGAAAGTATTCTTCCCATTTTCCAGAGGAGGCAACTGAGGCTCAGAGAGATGAACAGCCAGGTCATGGCAGAGGTAGGCTTGAGACTGGTGCTCCAGTTACAAGACCAGCATGGCAAAATGGTTCTCAGCATGACAGTTGGTGTGTCACTGCCTGGGTCTGAATCCTGGTCTGCCACGTACTAGTTCTAAGCCTTTGAACGAGTCCCTTAAACTTTCTTCGGACCTCAATTCCTGCATCTGTACAAATGGGGATAATAACAGCATCCATTTCATCGGATGATTAGGTGAAATAACCTAAGTGAATGTGACTGACAGGAAGTGCTAAATAAACATTAACTATTAGTATGTTTACATTCTATGATGCTCAGGAGTTGGGGCTTTCCCTGAGCAGATGCCATGAGCAGCAAGCTCCCTCCAGCCTAACCTTCACCCTCGCCTAAGCCCACTGAGAGCGGGGGAGCTTGCTGCCATGGAGCTCCACAGCTGGCTGGGTGCCCTCTCTTTGCACAGATACCTTTGTACCTGATGACTTAAGAAAGACAGATAAAATGTTGTAGAATAGTTGTTGGGGCCCCACAGACCTGTTGCTTCCTGTCTCCCACCTGTAAGCAGAGAAGTTTCCACCCCTCCTCTCAGAGGCAAGAACTCAGTCCATGTGGGATGGAGAGAGGAAGCTTACCTCCAGGTTTGATAAGGCCAACCCTCTCCAGGCTCAGCAACCAGTGAGTGAAATCACTCCCTGCCAAATTCTGCCTCCCCCCAAATCAAAGATACTTGGAAACAAAGAGCTTTTACTTTTTATAATTATTATTTTATTTTCTTAGTTTATGCTCTTAAATCCATAATGCGAAGTCCTCATCATTTAATTTCCCTTTAAAAAGGAACTTTGTGGCTAATACTATTTATTTATCAAATTCCAGGAGGTGGCTATAACCGAGTGTGAGGGATTGACCTTGTGAATTGAAGCAAAATCTCTTTCCTTCCCCAAGTCTTAGTTTCCTGTCTATAAGAAGATTCAGTTGGCCTGGAAGGATCCTTTCATTTTCTTCTACCTCTAAAAACTCTTGACTTTGAGCTTCTTGAGATTGGGAATTGTGTCACTGGCCAGGTTCACATTTCCTTCTCTTGGGGGCCAAGAGTTCTCATGTGAGTGATATTTATGGAATCATGATGCTATTTATTTACTGCTTTTCAGTTTTTAGACTCAACCTCCAGACAAAGCACAAAAGACTTAATTATAGTTACAGAACAAAATGGAAATATTATGAATAATATATAACTAATAAAAATTGGGAATTGCTTGATAAGAACACTATATCTTCATTCTCCAATGGTTATTTCTCTGGAGCAGGAAATTTGGGATGAGTGGTGAGTTCACAATTATTCATTATATTATTATGCTTTATAACTAATACATGTGATATATTTATTCTCTTTTTATTTCAAATTATATCTTTAAAAAATAAACAAAAAGCAATAAGGGCAAAAGAAAAATTTAAGAATAAGATAAAAGAAATAGATATAGCAAAAATAAAAAATTATTTGATCTCTTTCTCCACAAGTAGAAGCTTGTTCTGAATATGGTGAGCACTGAATCCTTTCTGGATGTATCTAAAATGGATTGATGGGGGGTTGGCAATGAAAAGCATGAAGTTCTGATACATGCTTCAACATGGATGAAACTTGAAAACATATGCTAAATGAAAGAAGCCAGACACAAAAGACCAAATATTATATGATTCCACTTTATGAAATTTCCAGAATAGGCAAATCTGTAGAGACAGAAAATAGATTAGTGTTTGCCTAGGGATGGGCAGAATTGGGGGAGGGGTAGGAGGGAAATTGGGAGTGAGTAATAATGAGTATGGCACTTCTTTTAGAGGGGGATGAATATGTTCTAAACTTAGATTGTGTTGATGATTGCACAACCTGTGAATATACTAAAAACATTGAATTGAATGCTTTAAATGGCTAAATGATGTGGTTTATAAGAATAAAAAAATAAATTTTATCAGAAGAAAGCTGTTTTCTTTTTTAAGTTGGAAGAGGGGTCTTGTCTTGCTAAGAACAGTCTTAGTGGTGGTTCACTTCTATAGCCCTATACCTCTTGTTTTTGTTTAATGAATGGAAAAATCTAGAAACCTGTCTTCCATGCATATATATAATTATAATAACAACAACAATAATAATGGCTTTCATTTATATAACACTATGTTCCAGGTGTTAGCTCCAGGCACTTTTATATTTTCAGCATATGCACCTCCATGGGGAAGCTACTATCCTATCCCCTCTTGAGGAAACCAAAAGGTAAAGCGATTTTCCACAGCTAGTAAGTGGCAGAGATGCAGCAAACCCATCATGTACCCGGCCCCGTGCTCAGCACCAGCAATACAGAAGTCCATCCTGAAGGCTACCATGCCCTCCACTGGCCATGAAGAATGACCCAACCAACCCAGTGCTAGGGTGACCAACCATCCCTTTTGCCAGGGACAGAGAGGGTTCCTGGAGTACAGGGTTTTTCGACGCTAAAAGCAGAAAAGTCCTGGGTAAACTGGGATGAGTTAGTCACCTTCCCAGAGTCAGTGAGCACTGTTGACTGTCCCTTCCTGTGCATGTGTGTGTGTGTATGTGTGCATACATGTGTGTGCTCACCTACTCACGGGTTCCTGAAAGGAGTACATCTTTACCCTCCCAGGCTCAGCAGTTCTCAGTGAGGGTCAAAGTCTTGTAGAAGCAAAGGGTGGAGCTGGCCAGGCTGGAGTCAGATGTGGCAGGTGGAGAGAGCGTCTTATAAGGGCGAAGAACTTCAGAGCAATAAAACTAGGACAAAGAGCAAGGTTTCCATCACAAGCCTTGAAGAAAACTTGAGTCCAGACTGAGGATGGGGGGCCTATCATTTTGCAAAGTAACTCTCCAAATTTTCATTCACTTTCCCATCCATGCATTCATTTAGTAAACACACATTGGGCACCTGGTGTGTGCCAAGTGCTTTGCTGGTGAGGAAGGAATCTCCCTGGCCTCAAGGAGCCTTCCGTCTAGTGGAATAAACAGACAAGGAAACCAGGTATTTACAATCCAGGGCAATCAGCAAAGAAGACATGAATAATATTTAACAAATGGTAGAGCGTGGGTGCTGGGCCAATCAAACTGACCAGCCATTAAGAATCAGAGCAGGATTCCCAGGTCCCCTGGTGTACCAGGCTTCAGCCTTTTGGTTGCTGAGTAGGGGGCTGGTTTGAAGGTCATGTGAGGGGCTACAGGTGTGGGGAGCACTTGAGGAACTCAGGGAAGCCAGCTGATTACCAACTGATATGGAAAAATTTCAATACAGTATTTTAGTAACTAGAATAGCCATATTAGTGACCCTGGTGGGAGACCAGTTCTGATGATAACGATTCAAGATTAACAAGGTATGTGATGGGGAGGCACAAGGGGCTCAGGGAAGGCTTCCCCGGGAAAGTGACATCTAAGTTGAGTTCGCCAGAGTGTTCCTGACAGATGGGGGAGGGCTCAGCATTTCAGGTAATTCAGTCTAGTTGGAGAAAGGAGAAGCAGGTAAGGACAGGTAAGGACAGCGTTGGGGGCGTGGGGGGGTTGTGTTAATCATGGTCAGCAGCTTGGCCTGTGTCCTCAGAGCAATGGGGAGCCACTGTATGGTTTTAATTAAGATCAGGGAGTCACCTGATACAGTTTGCAAATCCCCTAGGGCAGGGGTCCCCGACCCCTGGGCCTAGGACTGGTATTGGTCCCTGTTAGGAACTGAGCTGCACAGAAAGAGGTGAATGGCAGGTGAGCAAGCGAAACTTCATTTATTTGCAGCCACTCCCCAGCGCTAGCATCACCACCTCAGCTCCACCTCAGATCATCAGGTGTTAGATTCTCTCAGGAGCACTGGTCCCTGGTGCTGAAAAGGTTGGGGACCGCTGCGCTAAGGGATACGAAGGAATCTATTTTTCCAAAGACAAGAATTAACTTTAAAACACCTGTCAGATGTCACGCAGCAGGTTGGACATGACACAAAAGGAATTGCTCACTTCTAGAGCACCTTCTCCTTTGAATACCATGTGCCAACAAAGCTGCCCACTCGTGTACGGTATGAGGCTTCGGAATTTGCCAAGCACTTTACGGATTACATGGCGCTTTCCATCCATGCTCGTTTGATTTTCCACCACAACACTGTATTGTAGGCAGTGACACTCTTCCCATTTCACGGTTGAAGAAAGTGAAATACCAGGAGGTTTCAAGATCTGGGAAGCAGGGAAACCTTGACTCAAATCCAAGCATTAAGACTCCTCATCCAGAGTTTTTGCCCTCCACTCTGCTGTGTTTTGGCATTTGTATTGGTCGCTTTGGATTGTAAATGCCAAAAACATAAGTGCCTAAGCATGAATAAGAGAATCTGGAGGCTCACGTACTAAAAAGTTCATGATAGATAAACTTCAGGCATAGATGTCTCCGAGTGGTCAAGTGGTCAAATCATGTCATCAGGGATGTCTTGCTCTGTCTTGGCTTTCCGCTATGTTGACTTTCTTAGATTCTCAGATTGTTAGATTCTCCTGTCAAGGCAGAGACCTAACAGTTTAGCAATCCCAGCCATGAAGAACTATACTTTTCTGATAGGTAGAGCAAAAGTCTCAAGTTTCACTTTTATGCCCTGAGTGGGCTCAGGTGCACACCTCGGAAGCAATCCTGTGGCCACAGAGATAGCTGGGTGGTTCTGATTGGCTAAGACTGGGTCATGTGTCCAGCCCTGGAGTGAGGCAAGAGAAAACAGCCTCTCAGGACCACACGGACTAAGGGTAGGGGAGTTGTGGTCTCCTAAAGGAAAATGATGATGCTGTCACCTAGAGAAGAGCAAATAGATACTAGGCACATAAAAACTAACATTCAAGCTACAGCATGATTCCCCAGCATCAGGAGGCGGCTACCCACCTGGGGTGGGGGGTGGGGAGATGTTCGCTCTGACCAAGGAGCTCAAAATGGTGGCAGGCATGGTCTGCCTGGGGCCTGCCCCTTGGGGTGAAAGCCCAGAGCTAGCCAGCAAGCTCCAGTCCAGCCTGGAGGCCCAGAAACCACTTCCCTTTTTCTGAATGCGAGTTATCGGTCTGTGCCTGCTGGGGCTCGGGTGGGAAGTTCGTTTCTCTTAGTAGACAGAACTTAGTCATAGTATGACCTAAAAATCTAAAAAGCTATTTACAAAATTTAAAACGAGTCAAAAATAGCCTGTGGATAGAGGCTGGGGTCAACTCTGCAATAGATTTTCCCCACTTGTGAGCCTATCTTTCCTCCATATCCCATTCCTGATGAGACCTGTCTTTGCGCTATGCTTTATACTATAAAACCACCCAAAAGCCGGAATTGGGTAGTGCTCAAATATATAAACTCTAGAGGCAGAGAGCATGGCTCAAATCCCAGCTCTGCCACTTACTATGTGCAGGTTATTGACTGTGCCTCAATTTCCCCATCTATTATGGGTTTGATGGTATAAAACCTCCCATTTAGGGTTGTCTAGAAATCAGGTGAACTGGTACATATTCAGACAAGTGTCTAGCACTGGATAAGCAATATATATAAAGGTTGCTATTATGTGCTACAGTAACTGTTTTTCATCCATTTCAGGATGAGGATCCTGGAGGACGGGGCCAGGCCTGCCTTGTCTGTCACTATATTCCTAGTACCCAGCACAGGGCCTGGAACAGAGCAGGCCAAAGTTAAATATCTGTTCAGTGAATGAATGAATGAATGAATGGCCACTGCCACAGGAGCCAGGACTACTTGCCCAAGTAAGTCAGAGACGGAGCTCTGAGGCTGGGCCTGGCATGTAGCAGATTTGAAGGAAGTTCCACAAAGAGCTGATTCAGGGTACACATGGGAAATACCCTTTCCTTGGTGCCCAGAATTTCTCAGATTTCAAGCTGTCTTTCTCTTTGGTTTAGCTCCCTCTGCATCCCCCATTTTTAAAGTTAAATCATGCGTTACATGTTTGGTATACAGGCCTCTGAGTTCTGACAGACACATGCAGTTATATATCCACCCCTCTACTCAAGATGGAGGATAGTTCCATGATGTGATGTCACAAAATTCCCGTGCCCTTTGTAGACAGCCTCTTCATCCACCTCTAGTCCCCTAGTCCCTGGCAGCCACTGAACTCTTTTTTGTCACAGCAGTTTGCCTTTTCCAGAATGTCCTATAAATGGAATTATACAGTATGTGGGCTGTTGTATCTAGTTTCTTTCACTTAGCAAAATGCTTTTGGGATCCATCCACGTTGCTGCATATATGTATTTTAATTCATTCTCCCTTGCTCGTTCATTCTCTCTCTCTGTCTCTCAGCTTTGGACTCTTATGAGTAAAGCTGCTAGAAACTTTCATGTGTCTTTGTATGAGCATATGTTTTCATTTTTCTTGGGTAAATACCCAGGAGTAGAATTGCGGAATCATATGGTTAGTGCATATATAACTTTTTAAGAAATGGCCAAACCGTTTTTCCTAAGTGGCCATACCATTTTGTAATGTCATCAGCAATATATGAGAGTTCTAGTGGCTCCACATCTCCTCCAGCACATGGTCAGTCTTAAATTTTAGCTATTTCAGTAGTAACATAGTGGTATTTTATTGTGGTTTTAATTTGTATTTACCTAATGACTAATGTTGAGCACCGCATGTCTTCCTTCTTTCTTTTAAAAAATGACATAATATCCACAGTAAAAAAAAAAAAAAAAAATTATGCAGAGGTAAAAAGAAAATAATTTGTATTTACCTAATGACTAATGTTGAGCACCACATGTCTTCCTTCTTTCTTTTAAAAAATGACAATATCCACAGTAAAAAAAAAAAAAAAAAAAAAAGGTAAAAAGAAAAAAGAAAAATTCAAATAAAAATCACCTATTACCCTAGGGTTACCCACAGTTGACATTTTGAGTTATATCCAAACTTTGTCTCTTCAGACAAACATATAATTGTATTTTATTTATTTATCTGAGTAATATATGCACCTGGTACCAAGTCTGAAAGGAATGAAAGGCTAAGTGTTGAGAATAAGTTTCCCATTTATTCGGCTGCCCAAGTTAAGAAGTCTAACTAAACCTGAGGTAGCAGAAAACTTGGATCATCGACAGTTCTTTGATGTGCTTGTGGAGTGCAATGAACAATTCTAGTAAAACTAAACATTCATGAACCCAGCACCCCAGAAAGTCCATTCCTCAGCATTTAAGCAGAGGAAACACTGGAAACACGTGCAGCACGAGACCCGGATGAGACTATTCATACATGCATTATTCATAATAGCAAAAATCTGGAAAAACCCAGATGTCCATTGACAGGATAATGGATTTTAAAAATGCAATATATTCATACAATGGCTGACTACAAAGCAAGGAAGAAATGAATGGACTGCGGCCATGCACAGCAGCATGATGAATCTTAATATGATGTTGAATAGAAAAACTAGTTCCAAAAGATCCCACACAGCATGATACTCTTCTTTTAAAGGTTAGAAACAACTAAAAGTACACATAATTTAGAGTTAGACCATATTTATATATATGGTCTATATACACAAAAAAAAACAAAGAAAGGAAAAACACAAACATCAGAAGACTGGTTACCTCTTGGGGGATGTGAAGGGGTAGGGTAGAGAAAGATCTCTAGGGAGATATAAGGTATCATTATGTTCTATTCCTTGGGTTGGCTGGAGAGTTAAAAATAAATGAATAAGTAAATCGAATTGACAACTGGGCATGCACAGACCAATAATACAAGTGTATCATGAACCAGGGATTATAGCTAATCTAATTCTGTGCGCAGGAGGTAAGTTCAAA